CGGCGGAGTCATAGGGGAGCGGGCTGGAGCGGTGGAAGGTGGCCGGAGTTGTAGGAGAGCAGGCTGGAGCGGTAGGAGGGCGGCCGGAGTCGTAGGGGAGCGGGCTGGAGCGGTGGGAGGGTCGCCAGAGCGGTAGGGGAGCGGGCTGGAGCGGTGGGAGGGTCGCTGGAGTGGTAGGGGAGCGGGCTGGAGCAGTAGGAGGGCGGTTGAAGCAGTAGGAGGGCGGTTGGAGCGGTAGGGGTGCAGGTTGGCGCGGTAGGAGTGCAGCTGGAGCGGTAGGGGAGTGGGCTGGAGTGGTAGGAGGGCGGCCGGAGTCGTAGGGGAGCGGTCTGGAGCGGTAGGAGGGTGGCGGGAGAGGTAGGGGAGCGGGCTGGAGGGTTAGGAGGGCGGTCGGAGTGGTAGGAGGGCGGCTGGAGTCGTAGGGGAGCGGTCTGGAGCGGTAGGAGGGTGGCCGGAGAGGTAGGGGAGCGGGCTGGAGGGTTAGTAGGGCGGCCGGAGTGGTAGGAGGGCGGCCGGAGTCATAAGGGAGCAGGCTGGAGTGGTAGAAGGGAGGCCAGAGTCAGACGGGAGTGGGCTGGAGGGGTAGGAGAGTGGTTGGAGTCATATGGGAGCGGGCTGGAGGGATAGGAGGGTGGCCGGAGTCTTAGGGGATTGGGTTGGATCAGTAGGAGGGCGACCGGAGGGGTTGGGGAGCGGGCTGGAGCGGTAGGAGGGTGGCCGGAGGGTAGGAAGACAGCTGGAGTGGTAGGAAAGCGGGCTGGAGTGGTAGGAGGGCGACCTGAGTGGTGGGCGAGCAGGCTGGAGCGATAGCTCGAAGGTGCAGGGTTTTCAGAACAGGATTTCTGGGAGCAGCCCCTCGATGATTACGGGGCAGGGGTTACTCTTATCACTTGTAGGGCACTTGGACCGGGTACCTGATGCCCAAGGCTTCCCCTGTGGGTGAGAGGCAGGGTCCTGCTGGTCCATGGGATTTCACGCATGTGATGGAAAGGCATCCATGCAGAAGAGTGAACGATGCGAAAGTGTTGTAGCACCGTGGAAACGTATAGGTATTACAATCTGAGCTATTTGATCAGAAAATGAAACAATAGGCCAGCAGGGTGACTCATGCCTGTAATCCCAGCATTTTGGGAGGCCAAGGCGGGAGGACCACTTGAGTCTAAGAGTTTGAGTTCAGCCTGGGAGACATAGCAAGACCCTGTCTCTCCTAAGAATTTCTTTTAAAAAGCTGGGCATGGTGGTGCATGCCTGTGGTTCCAGCCACTTGGGAGGCTGAGGATTGCTTGAGCCCAGGAGTTTGATGCTATAGTGAACCATGATCACACCACTGCACTCGAGCATGGGTGACAGAGAGACTGTCTGAAAGGAAAAAAGAAAGAAGAAGCCACACCAACATGCTACCATGTCCTATGCTCCTCTTTTTTTTTTTTTTTGGCTAAAGTGCAGTAGGGTGATCTCAACTCACTGCAACCTCTGCCTACCAGGTTCAAACGATTTTCCTGCCTCAGCCTCCTGAGTAGCTGGGATTACAGGTGGCCACCATGACACTCAGCTAATTTTTTGTATTTTTAGTAAAGAGGGAGTTTCATTAAGTTGACCAGGCTGGTCTTGAACTCCTGATCTCATGATCTGCCCACCTCAGCCTCCAAAAGTGCTGGGATTGTAGGTGTGAGCCACCAAGCCCAGGCTTTTTTTGTTTTTTTTTTTGGATAGTTTCACTTCTGTTGCTCAGGCTGGAGTGCAATGGTGTGATCTCAGTTCACTGCAACCTCTACTTCCCAGGCTCAAGCAATTCTCCTGCCTCACCCTCCTGAGTATCTGGGACCACAGGAGTGCACCACCGCACCTGGCTAATATATTTGTATTTTTGGTTGAGACGGGGTTTTGCCATGTTGCCAAGGCTCATGAGTACAGTTCCTGTTTCATTCACCGCAGTATCCCCAGTGCCTGAGACATGCCTGGCATTTGGTAAATCCTCAAGAAATATGTGTAAGGGAGTGAATAGTTTCGGCTGGAAGTGGGAAGCCTCCCACTTCGCTGTCCACAGTGTCTGCGTGTCCCTCCCCCGGGGGTGTTCCACTGCTCACTGTATTTCCTATTGAAAATGTCCTGGACCTGCTCCCTCAGTGTGTGGGTGATGTGGATCTGGGAGAGCCTCATGTTGTAACTTTCTGCAAAGCATAAAACAACTATGGGTTTGGGCTGTTCAGTGAAAAGGCACTTAGGGAATTTTAAAGAATATGATTTTCTAATTATGGGAAACTCCTTCTCTGGCAATTAATGGATCTTTAGAGTGGGCCCCTCAGGTCCTTCAGCACCAAGGTGTTGATGGAGACATGTTTTTTTCCAGAAGGACATGCACTGTCGTCACAACGGTGATGAGCTGGAAAATTTGAAAACCACCAAACCAATACATAAGTCCCAGAGGTGAGGGACACTGGAGAGTGGATTCTTGTGCCCCAGGCTGGTGGGTAGGGAATGGGGGCTTTATGAAGTCCCTAGAGAGCTGGAGAAAAGGGAAAGAACACAAGCTCAGCTAACTCAGCAGGTGGTGGGGGACGGGCAGTCCCCACAGACACGGGGTGGGCCTGGCAGCTCCCAGTGGGCACTCACTCACCCAGAGGGTGTTCATTAAAGACCACCAAGTATGGCCAGGAACAGTGGCCTATGCCTGTAATCCCAGCGCTTGGGGAGGCCACGGTAGGAGGATCACCTGAGGTCAGGAGTTGGAGACCAGCCTGGCCAGCGTGGTGAAACTAGAAATACAAAAATGAGCTGGGCATGGTGCTGTGAACCTGTAATCCCAGCTACTAGGGAGGCTGAGGCAAGACAATTGCTTGAACCTAGGAGGTGGAGGGTGTAGTGAGCCAGGATCATAATCATACCCCACATGCCAGCCTGGGCAACAGAGTGAGACTCTATCTCAGGAAAAACAAAAACAAAAGCTGGGCACAGTGGCTCACACCTGTAATTTCAGCACTTTGGGAGGTGGATCATCTCAAGTCAGGAGTTCAAGACCAACCTGTCCAGCATGGTGAAACCCTGGCTCTACTAAAAAAATATAAAAAATTATCCGGGCTTGGTGGTTCACACCTGTAATTTCAGCACTTTGACAGGCTGAGGCAGCAGGATCACGAGGTCAGGAGTTCGAGACCAGTCTGAGCAACATGGTGAAACCCTGTCTCTACAAAGAGTACAAAAATTAGCCGGGTGTGGTGGTGGGTACCTGTAATCCCAACTACTCAGGAGGCTGAAGCAGGAGAGTTGCTTGAATGCTTGAACCTAGAAGGCAGAGGTTGCAATGAGCGGAGATTTTGCCTCCAAACTCCAGCCTGGTCAACAAGAGTGAAACTCTGTCTCAAAATAAGGCAAGGGGATCCTGGACCGCCATGAGCCCCTGACTGCAGGGCAGGGAGAAAGGAGGGGAGGAGGGAGTGACTCTGGGCACTTGGGCCAGGCTTGTAGTGAGGGTCTCAGTCTGCTAAGGGGGTGGGGTATGAGGAGCTGTGGTGAGGAGAGTCATGAACTCCCCCAGTCATGGAATGTCCCAGAACAGCTGTGCAGAAAAGAGTATGAGAGACCAGAGGCAGAAAGCAGCTGCTCTCTGGGCCTTGGGCCCCTCTCTCTGGGCTCCCCCACCCCCAGTGACTCTTCCCACCACCAGTCTTGTCAACCCCTTTCTCCTCAGTACTAGAGGGTGGCCACACAGTCACCGTCTACTACTCACTTGCAGCCACACCCTGGCTCCTCAGAGCAGCCCCAACATGGGGGCTCCACAGGGCATCACCTGTCTCCCAGCTCAGACCCTGGCACCTTCCTGCTGCTCGATCCTCTTCTTGCCTTTCCTCAAGTGTCTCCCTGCTTCCACTCTCCACTCCTCTCCTTCCTTGCTTACTTCCACCTCCTGCCTCCCAGCCCAGCCCCAACCTTTTCCACCTGACCTTAGTGACACACCCCTCCCTCCCTCCTTTCCTTCCTTTCTTCTGTGCCTCCCTTCCACTATTTCTCTCCTCTCTTTCTTTCCTTATTTTTCCTTTCTTCATTCATTCCTTTTTCTTTCTTTTTTTCTTCCTCCCTTCCCTTCCCCTTCCACTTCCCCTTCTCCTTTCTTCCTTCTTTCTTTCCTTCCCTCCTTCCTTTTTCCTTCCTCCCTCCCTTCCTTTCCCACTTCTTTCTTTCTCTTTACTTCCTTTCTTCCTTTTTCTTTTTCTTTTTTTTTCTTCTTTCTTTCTCTTTCTCTTTCTTTCTTCCTCCCTTCCCTTTGCACTTACACTTCCCGTTCTCCTTCCTGCCCTCCTTCTTCCTTTCCTCCCTTCCTTCCTTTCCTACTGAGGAGTCTCTACGTGTTGTCAGAGACATCTCCTCTTCATCAACTGTGACCCCTGTTTCTCAGACTTGGAGGGAAATAAGGGCACACAAATTGTGACCATGGAGGTGGGGCAAGGCTGCTAGGAAGAACAGGGAGTGTCTGAGGTAGTGATTCTCCTACCTCAGCCTCCCAAGTAGCTGGTATTACAGGTGTGTGCCACCACAGGCAGCTAATTTTTGTATTTTTTTTCAGTAGAGATGGATTTTACCATGTTGGCCAGGCTGATCTCTTGAACTCCTGAGCTCAGGTGATCTGCCCACCTCAGCCTGCCAGAGTGCTGGGATTATAGGCATAAGCCACTGCGCCCAGCCTAATTTTAAAATTTTTAACTTTTTTTTTTTTTTTAGACAGAATTTTGCTCTTGCCACCCAGGCTGAAGTGCAGTGGCACTCGGCTCAGTGCAACCTCTGCCTCCCAGATTCAAGCAATTCTCCTGCCTCAGTCTCCACAGTAGCTGGAACTACTGCCTCCCAGATTCAAGCAATTCTCCTGCCTCAGTCTCCGCTACAGGTATGTGCCACACCCAGCTAATTTTTGTATTTTTTAGTAGAGACAGGGTATTACCATGTGGCCAGGATGTTCTCAATCTCCTGATCTTGTGGTCCACCCATGTTGACCTCCCAAACTGCTGGCATTACAGGTGTGAGCAACCACACCTGGCCAAATTTTCTCTGTTTAATTGTCTTTAGAGACGAGCTCTTGCTCTGTCACCTAGGCTGGAGCGCAGTGGCTCAGCAATAGTTCACTGCAGCCTTAAACTCCTGGACTCAAATGATCTTCCCACCTCAGCTTTCTGAGTAGGTAAGACCGCAGGTGTGCACCACACCCTGCAAAGATTTTACATTTTTTTGTAGTAACGGGTTTTCACTATGTGGCACGGTCTGGTTGAACTCCCAGCCTCAAGTGATCCTACCATCTTGGCCTTCTGAAGTGCTGGAATTACAGGCTTGAGCCACCGTACCTGGCCTTGAGTACAGAATTTCCTTAGGGGGTCTAAAATCGGTGATGGGTGTGCACTAAAGTGTGAATGATATCTCAGCAAAGTTGGTTTATTTAAAACAGCAACAGGCTGGATGAAGTTGCTCATGCCTGTAATCCCAGCACTTTGGGAGGCCAAGGTGGGTGGATCATCTGAGGTCAGGAGCTTGAGACCAGCCTGGCCAACATGATGAACCCCTGTTTCTGTTAAAAGTACAAACAATTAGTAACTTGAATGAGGGGCAGGGTATCCCACCTGCTCCGAGCAGCTCTTTATGAGCCCCAGCTATTTCTGGGGTCCTCAAATGAAACCTCCCAAGTCATACCCAAGTCATTCCCAACATGGGCCTCCTCCCCTTTTCTAGCCCCCTGCTGGGAGATGCTGAGTGACAGAGGCTCAGGCTTTGGGTGTTCCTGTCAAAGCCTCACCCCAGGAGCCCCACAGGTCAGGCCCAGTCCATGGTTCACATGGCCCCATTTCATCCTCTTTTTCCTTTGAGAGCCCCTGGATCCCTCATTCAGGTGCAGTGCTGTAGGGCAACACTTCTTCCCGGGGTGACCCAGGCCTGCAGTGTCCCAGTGTCACTGGCAGGCCTTGACCTGGCCTCCACCTGAGTCCCTGCTCCTCCTCTCCCACAGGGAACATGACATCCTCTTCCCAGGGTACACCCACCTGCAGAGGGCCCAACCCCATCACTGGAGCCACTGGATTCTGAGGTGAGCTGGGTGAGTTGCTGGGGCTGTACTGGATGGGAGGACCCTGGCTGCCCTGACTCTCCTGCCCCTGGCTTTCCACAATGGTGCATGGTGCTGACCCTAGATTCTGAGCAGCTGCTGGAGGTGCAAAAGCTGATTGCTGTCCTGCCCCTGGGGAGGTGGGTGAAACTCCAGTGCCCTAAGGGCCTGGTGAGGGTGGCTGCTGCATAGCCTAGGGATTCACACATGAGCTGGGAAGGGCAGAAAGGGTTAGAAAATCAGGTTATCTTCAGAGGGGGACCCTGCATGGATCCCCAGGTCTTGCTAAGGTGGGGACATCCAAGCCAGTGAATGTGTCTGAGCAGGGCTGGCCTCCTCAGGCTCCTAGTGAGTCCAGCCCACTGCCCTCAGGCTGACATATGGGGACATGTGTCAGGAGACAAGGGTTCTGCACCCAAGGTTACTCGGTGCTTGGGGATAAGTGTTCAGGAGACATGAGGGGACAAGTGTTGTGGACCCAAGGTGACTGGGCCAGGGAAGAGGTTGAGCTCCAGGTGGTTGCCCTGGCAACTAGGACTTAATTCTGTGTGTGTGTGTGTGTGTGTGTGTGTGTGTGTGTGTGTGTCTTTCTGTCTGTCTGTCAGGGTTGCCTGCCAGGAGCCCTGGTCACCATGAATCCCTGTCCCTGAAGCAGGGCCATTTTGGGCAATTGCCTGGGTATAGACAGAGAGCTGCTCTGAGCAGGTGAGATACCCTGTCCCTCCTCCCTAGGGAGAGTCACCCTCAGCAGAGATGCAGACACACCAGAAGGCAGGAGCTAGTGGCCCCTGGTGAAACCATCATTCATTGCCTATGGGCACTGAGCTTATCTAGGCCAAGGGTCACCCATGGCAGGGGCGCCTGGTACTGAGAGACTCAGGGCTCCTACCTCCCTCCTAGACTGGAAAAGATGCCTTTCCCCAGCTCCCACCCCACCCACCCTAATCCTCTTCCCTGATCCTTTTTCCAGGGGGAGGGGGCCAGGCAACCAGCTTAGGGGAGAGGAGGCCACACTCCCTGTTCTCCAGCCCAGCCCTGCTTCCTCCCAACCCCCAGAACTCAACTTTGGTGCCATCACTCTTCACAGCCTGGATGCCACCAGTGAGCATGACTTCATGGGTGAAGTGACTTTGGGGAGCCAGTCCCCTGCCCGGTGCCTCACTTCTGTCCCTCCGCCCAGCTTCTCTCCAGTCTTCTCCTACTCCTGTATGGTCAGACTGATTGTACACTAAAGTGTAAACTGTAAATTGGGCAGGGCACGGTGGCTCACGCCTGTAATCCCAGCACTGGCCAATTTGGTGAAACCCCATTTCTACTAAGAATACAAAATTTAACCAGGTGTGATGGTGAGCACCTGTAGCTACTTGGAGAGCTGAGGCAGGAGAATCGCTTGAACCCAGGAGTCCAAGGCTGCAGTGAGCTGAGATCACACCAGTACACTTTAGCCTGGGCAACAAGAGTGAAACGTTATCTCAAAAATTAAAATAAAATAAAAATAAATAAATGGGTAGATTTTATGTGAACAATACCTCAGTAAAGCTGGTTTATCTTATTTTTTGTTTTGTTTTGCTCTGTTGCCAGACTTGAGTGCAATGGCACGATCTCAGCTCACTGCAACCTTCACCTCCGAGGTTCCAGTAATTCTCCTGGCTCAGCCTCCCAAGTAGCTGGGATTACAGGTGCGTGCCACCACACCCGGGTAATATTTTTGTATTTTTAGTAGAGAAAGGGTTTCTGGATCTCCTGACCTCATGATCTGCCCACCTTGGCCTCCCAAAGTGCTGGGATTACAGGAGTGAGCCACCACACCCAGCCAAAGCTGGTTTATTTAAAACAACAAGAATAACAAAAAACAGGCTAAATGCAGTGGCTCACATTTGTAATTCCAGCACTTTGGGAGGCCAAGGCAGGAAGATTACTTGAGCCCAGGTGTTTTAGACCAGCATGGGCAACATAGCAAGACTCCATCTTTACTCAGAATGAACATTTAGGTCAGGCACAGTGGCTCACACCTCTAATCAAGAACTTTGGGAGACCCAGCCAGGTGGATCACGAGGTCAAGAGATCAAGACTACCCTGGCCAACATGGTGAAATCCCATCTTTAACAAAAATAGAAAAATTAGCTGGCCATGGTGCCAGCTATTCAGAAGGCTAAAGCAGGAGAATTGCTAGAACCTAGGAGGTGGAGTCTGCAGTGAGCCAAGATCTCACCACTGCAACAGAACAGACCCTGTCTGGAAAAAAAAAATGAAAATGTAGCCAGGTCCCCCCTACCACCTAATGTCCTCTTTCTCCCTGTATGGTCAGGCTGGGTGAGTACCAGAGAGGCTTGGTGACTGGGAATCTTTTCTTTCTCCCAGCTGAGTTCCTGTTCTAGGCTTCATTCTGCATGACCCATCTCAGCAGGATGGCCAGGGACCTCATCCTCTGTGGCACCAAGGAATTCAGCTTCATGTAGCTCTCAGATGCCTACAGGTAAGCCCTGAACTGCCACTTCCACCTGCCCCTCCCAGCCTCTGCATTCTCCACACCCCTTAGGCATGGCTTCCTTCCTCCCCGCCCTCTGCCAGATCTGGCCAGTCAGCTGCTGGACAAGACAAGGGCCTAGCCCTTTCAGTGCCTGCATCTTTGTCTGCAGCACCAGAAGCAGCCTGATGCCCCAGAAGAAAAACCCCGACAGCTTGGAGCTGATCTGGAGCAAAGGGCAGGGAGAAAGGAAGGGTGGATATGAGATCCCCAGCAGGGGCAGAATTCCTGGTCCAACCCCATGCCTCCCTCTTCTTGCAACATTCTGTGCTCCTGATGACCCTCAAGGAACTTGCCAGCACCTGCAACAAAGACCTACAGTTGTGAGGCTGGGGACAGTGGCTGTGGGAGGCCTGCCTGCCTACACACCACGTGCCAGTTCTCGGGGTTCTAGCATACCCAGGCAGGGACCCTCAAGATTGCCATACCTACACCAATCCTGTGCACTCAGCCCCATCTGTGGCTGCTTTTGGAGCTCTCGGCCCTTCCTTTGGGTACTGAGTATTCTTCCCATGGAAGGCAGCAGGGATGCCTCAGTGTGGGGTGTGGCTGTGGGGACCCTGGGTGCCAAGAGGAACATCTTCTGCCATGTTCCTCCCAGGAGGACAGGAAAGCTTTGTTTGAAGTGTCAGACACCATGAGTGCTGTGTCAGGTGGCCACTGGCATCATCTCTACACTGCAGGCAAGCCCACCCCCACCTGCCTCTCCTCCCCTAGATCCCAGGCACTGGGGTGGGCTTGCCAGGAGAGTGGCCTTGGGCGGAGGCAAGGTGGGGCCGGAGGACCTGGGCAGGGAAGGAGTGGTGTGCTGGCTCCTGTTCCTGGGGAACAGGGAAGGGACAGAAGCTGCTGCCATGCAATGGAAGTAAATGAGACTCAAGGGACCTGGGGCCTGTCAACTGACCCAACCAGAACCCTTTTAAAAAAGAAAATTTATATAAAAGGTTGTCATGGTGGCTCACGCCTGGAATCTCACATTTGGGAGGCTGAGGCAGGTGGAGCACTTGAGTTCAGGATTTTGAGACCAGCCTGGCCAACATGGTGTAATCATGTCTCTTAATAAAAATGCAAAAATTAGTTGGGTGTGGTGGTCCACACCTGCAATCCCAGCTACTTAGGAGGCTCAGGTAGGAGAATTGCTTGAACCAGTGAGCCGAGATGATGCCACTGCATTACAGCCTGGATGACAGAGTGAAACTCCATCTTCAGATATGTAAATTAGTTAATTAAATATCTTTTAAAAATTATTTTTTAGAGACAGGGTCTCTTTTTGTCACCCAGGCCAGAGTGCAATGGCACAGTCATAGCTCACTGCAGCCTCAAACTCCTGGGTTCAAATGGTCCTCCCACTTTAGCCTCCAAAGTAGCTGGGACTACAGGTGTGCACCACCACACCTGGCTAATTTTTTGAATTTTTTGTAGAGACAGGGTCTTCCTGTATGGCCCAGGCTGGTCTCAAACTCCTGGCCCCAGGCCATCCTTCCACTTTCATCTCCCAAAGTGCAGGAATTATAGGCATGAGCCACTTTGCCTGGCTGATTTCTTTTAAAACCAATTATTATGGGAATTTCTGTCTATAACAGCTAGAGAATGCATAATGAACCCTATGTACTGACACCCAGCTTCAACAATAATCAAACATTCTGGCTCCAGCTGTCTTTACACACTGCCCAACGCTGTGGGTATGGGGTAATCCCAGCACTTTCAGAGGCCAAGGCAGGTAGATCACCTAAGGTCAGGAGTTTGAGGCCAGCCTGACCAACATGGTAAAGCCCCATCTCTACTAAAATGCAAAAAAATTATCTGGGCGTGGTGGTGCATGCCTGTAGTCCCAGCTACTTGGGAGGATTGAATCGTTTGAGAATCACTTGAACCCAGGAGGTGGAAGTTGCCGTGGGCCAAGATTGCACTATTGCACTCCAGCCTGGGCAATAAGAGCTAAACTCTGTCTTAATAATAATACTAAGGCTGGGCACAGTGTCTCATGCCTGTAATCCTAGCACTTTGGGAGGGCAAAGTCACACAGCTTGCGGTAGGACCTCCAGTCATTAAAGGTACCCAGTATAACAGAGACTACTGAGTTACTCACCGATGACCAGAAGTGAAATGTGGAGCCCAGACCTTCGAAAAGGCTGGGATGGCACTTAAAGAAAAAGGGGGCATGGCACGGTGGTTCGTGCCTATAATCCCAGCACTTGGGGAGGCCAAGGTGGGTGGATCATGAGGTCAAGACATTGAGACCATCCTGGTCAACATGGTGAAACCCTGTCTCTACTAAAAATACAAAAAATTAGCTGCGCATGGTGGCACGCGCCTGTAGTCTCAGCTACTCAGGAGGCTGAGGCAGCAAAATTGCTTGAACCCAGAAGGCGGAGGTTGCAGTGAGCGGAGATCATGCCATTGCACTCCAGCCTGGGTAACAACAGGGAAACTCCGTCTCAAAAAAAAAAAAAAGAAAAAGAAAAAAGAGGGATAACATATGCTATAGACTGAATGTCTGCCTCAAAGTTCATGTTGAATCCTAATCCCGATGTAACGGTATCAGAGGTGAGGACTTTGTGAGGTGATTGCAGCTATTGAGGGAGGAGTCCTCATTAATTGGATTCATGCCTGGTAAAAGAGGCCCCCAGAGTGTTACATCTTCTACCACCTGAGAACACAGCAAACAGGCACCATCTAGGAATCAGGGCTTCCCCAGACAACAAACCTTCTCCTTCCTCCACCCTGACCTTGGGCTTTCAGCCTTCACAAATGTGAGAAATAAATTTCTGTGGTTTATAAGCCACCCAGTCTATGGTATTCTGTTATATCAGCCCAAACAGACTAGGATAGTACAGTAGCTTTTGAGGGCAACTGGAACAAGGGGAAGGAGGACTATTTGTTAAAGATGTCAGCAACTGGCTGGGTATGGTGACTCATGCCTATAATCCCAGCACTTTGAAAAGCCAAGGGGAGCAGATCACCTGAGGTCAGGAGTTTGAGACCACCCTGACCAACATGGTGACAACAAAAAAATTAGCTGGTTGTGGTTGTGCACACCTGTAATCCTAGGCACTCGGGAGGCTGTGGTAGGAGAATCACTTGAACCTGGGAGGTGGAGGTTGAAGTGAGTGGAGGTTGTTGCAGAGGTGAGATCGTGTACACTGCACTCCAACCTGGGTGATAGTGACTCCATCTCAAAATAAAAAGATGTCAGCAACTTAAGTATTTTTAACGGCTGGGCAGAGGGGACCAATGAAAAAGAGTAGGACATCGTGATCTGAGGGGAGGGTTTGGCTCAGGAAGGAGGAAGTACACCTCTTCCTTGGATACTGGAAGGGAAGGTGTTGCTGATGAAAACTTCAAAGGAAGAAAAGGTCCATGGAGGATGCTTCATCACTGGGTTTAAGTTTTTTAACAAAATTGGTGAGGAAGACATCTGCACATAATCTAAAAAATAATGAATGCAGCCATGGTACCTTAGGGCACTGGAAAAGGCAATGCACCTGACCTCTGGGAAAGCTGATCTCAGAGGTACGCAGGACGTCTTGGTGTGGGGAATCTGTGTGGAGATGCGTCTGGAGACAGTGAGTCATACTTCCTGACCTTATAACCATGCAGCTCAGCAGTCTCTGTGAGAGTCGGCTCCCTTTGTGTTCCAGGTACTGCTCTCGTTCGTTAAGACTTCTACAATGGGGAGGGTAAAAGAAATACATTTTAATTTGTAAGAAAATGAAGCATTCAAAAATAAAATTACCTGCTCTATCCAGGGTATATTTGCTTTCCAGCCTATCTTAGCAGTTACAGAGGATAACTGCTAAGTACACTTGACTCGTTCATTTGAACATCATGTGAGCACAATTGACAACCCATCTTAAAAAAAATCTTGAGAAAAAAGTATTTAATTTCTTGACTAAATTTAGCTTTTAGAAGGGATCAGTGATTCTGTTGATGGTGATTGAGACGGTTAATATGTAGATGTTTTCTTCTTGGCATGTGAGAGACATGTTTGTTTTAGTGGGAGCAGCAGGTGTGTGTGGAAGAAAACCTGGAGTCCCAGGCCACCACACTACTTGGGCTGGTAACATGTATTTTTCAAGTTCTGCTCCACCAGGCTGAGTACCGTGTGTTGATAACTGATATCTGTCAAATTAAACCTGAAGTGCCTTTCTCTTTTCATTTCAAATAACTTTGCTCTTTCGTTGCTTATGCCATTTAAAGTGAGATTTGTACCAAAGTGTTAAAATGTATTTAGTGTATTCCTTAATAACATGAATGTATACATTACAATCTTTGATTTAATCTTATCGTAAGTCTTTAGTAGCAGTGTAGTCTTGCAATGGAAATCTTTCAGCTCTCTTTAATCTTTATCAAGTTTTCAGTTTATTAGTCTGTTTAATCTCTTATGCCACTTTTACACTTATGCCATTTAGACTATCAATTAATAAACATTGAGAAAAATAATTATTATAACTGTTACATTGAATTCAGAAGAGTGACACATGTTTAATATTACATTCTATAAAAAATCCTAAGCTTAATTTCAGGAAAGATTCAGTTTTATTCTTATAAGTATTTACAATTAGTCAAAACTCCCCCTACCCCAATCCCTTATCAAAATCAATGTTCATAAACCAACAGACCCACTAGATGCTTATATGTCCATGGGCAGGAATGATCACAGGAATTAACGCATCCATCCAGCTGGACTGTGGAGATGTTTCTAATGTTTGATAGAGATCCTGCTATTCACGTAACTGTGGAGTGACTTGGCTAACTGACATATGTTCTTTAGGATCCATGGAGCACGTAACACATCCTGATGCTGTTCTCAGCCTTCTATGGCCTCTTGGTCACCGTTTCCTACCATCTGAGCTGGCAGAGCAGTGACCCATCTGTGTTCATGTGAGTGATCTATGCCTGTGCTGTCATCACTGAGCAGGGGGTGCGGTTCCCACAGCGTTTTGCCCTGACTGAGGTGGGGAGATGGCAAATCACTGCCTATTGTAATTTGACTCTCATTATTAAACTAGCTGGTCATTCACCAGAGGAGGGCAGGAGAAATACAGGACCAGCCAGAAATTAGTAACAGTTAAAAGTGAACATCCAGCAAACATTTTGGCTTTGATTTTGGAGTAAAATGCACAGTGGCAGGAACAGATGGCCAATAGCACCCAAGCCCTGTTGTGACTTTCCCTTGGGTGAGTTGGGTGAGAAGCTACCACCTCAACAATACTTTCTCTAGATCCATTAAACTGCATCCCTGCATTGAGGCAGTTACCTGTGGAGACTAAACCAGCACCTCTGAAAGGAAACTTTTTGTTCTATTTTGTTGTGGTGGTGTTGGTTCTCAATCTGGCCAATGCCCTCTGGATTTAAAGTGAGATTTGCACCAAAGTGTTAAAATGTATTTAATGTGATCCTTAGTAATGTGAACGTATACATTGCAATCTTCCCTTTCATCATATCTTTTAAGCCTTTGGTCACATGTACTCTGGCACTGGAAGTCTTTCAAGTGATGCCAGAGTGAGTTTCAGATACTGACAGTAGCATCTTATGTAATGTGTTTAAATTTATGAAAAATTTGATTTAAGATAACCATACTCTTGGAGGACCGGAATTAGATGCGGCAGTATCAAAGGCATGAAAAATGGAAAAAAAGAAAAGTTAAATGGTTCTCACACTTTTTAGTGTCAGTTGTATTACTTCAGTGTTCACTTTCTGCTGCTAATTGTTTGTGAAGATGAAGCTCTAGTGGGCTGTCAGAGATGGAGGACCGTTCCTTTGTCCCACTGCTGACAGTAGAGGGTGATGCTGCTGCTGAGGTACTTGACTGCTCTCATTAGGGTGAAATTGAGAATTATGATCACTTGAACGAGTACCTCTTTTTAGATTTTAAATGAAGAGGGCCCTGCTTTTGTCATGTGTGGGTGTGAGATCTAAGGTGAAGTTATTTACCAAAACACTGCCCCAGGGACGTCATTGATAAAGTAAAACCTATGTGTTTTTCCACTTTCAGGTCCTTCATTCAATGCAGACTGTTTCCTAAGTTTTTACATCAAAATCTGGAAGAGTCAGCTGCTGATCCTCTCCCCAAGAAGTGGTGAGACATTTGTGTTGTGTAACGTAGTATAGGAGGGCCTCACCTTTTCAGCAGAGCTCGGGCTCTCAATGGGCCTCTAGGCAGGTGGACATGAGAAGGGCTAGGACAGAAAGACACCTCAGCATGTCTCTGGCACACTGAACTATTGAACTGCCTGCAAGGGTGCAGCCCTTCAGAGCATCTTGATGGCGGCCGTTATGCACACAAGGCATGGGTGCTTAGGTGGCCTTCAGTTGGTTGCAGTTTGCCAGGATAGTCACATGAATCACAGTGAGTCAGTTTTGCCTATTGCTGGCACCAAATAGCAGGTGGGCTCTGCACAAATGAAAGCTTTTCAGATAAACGTTTAGCCAACCTGCCTTCCTGATGTGGTCCACATAAAACTCTTCTCCATATCTTCTCCCTGCAGCTCCACACTGAGTTCAGAGCACTCTTTCAAAGTTGATGTCTGCACAGCCATTGCTTGGGGCACTTGGGCTTTAGACGGGTAACCACACTGGGGAGCACAGGAGAAGAAAAGGAAGAAGGAGAGGGAGACAGGAAGAAGAGAATCCTACAGCTATAAAATAATGATGCCATTTCCTTGTTCATCAGGAAAATGGCTCTGGACAGCTTCAAACTTTTTTCTTTTTTTTTTTTTTTTTTTTGAGATAGTCTTGCTCTGTTGCCAGGTGCCAGGCTGGAGTGCAGTGGTGCGATCTCAGCTCACTGCAACCTCTGCCTCCTGGGTTCAAGCAATTCTGCCTCAGCCTCCTGGGTAGGTGGACCACAGGTGTGTGCCACCATGCCCAGCTAATATTTTTGTTTTTTTAGTAGAGATGGGGTTTCATCATGTTGGCCAAGATGGTCTCAATCTCTTGACCTTGTGATCAGCCCACCTTGGCCTCCCAAAGTGCTGGGTTTAGAGGCTTGAGCCACCGCACCCGGCTCAAGCACTCTTTTAGCAAATGTAGTTTCTTTGGTTAAAAGCCAATGCTCCTTAATTGTGTAAGCTCACATACATCTGAGTATTGAACTTGGAGCTGTCTAATGTCCTGACTCACACTTTTCCTGGTTTTCTTAGGAATAAGAGATAAAAGGAAAAGGGAATAATCTATTGATCCAACCAGGACTGTGTCTCATTTGTCCTGATATCCACAGAGCCAGTGCATGGTGTTCTAGTGGGTGCTCAGTACAGTTCATGGAATTTAGATGAGTTTAATTGCAGTCTGCCATTTCAAGGCAATGTATGGACTCACAGCCAACATGAAAGCCTTTAAAAGAAATTCATACTCAGCTTTTGTGCCTTTAAATGTGGTCACAATTCAAGCTAATGTATAAAGGCTTTTTTTCCACCATAAGGGAATCAAAGGACAAATCACTTAATATCAGTAAGGGCATAGTTCATGAATTTTAAGAGCAGAGATACATTTAAAAGCAAGTTAAAAGTCAAAGCAGTTGGCAGATGGCAGCCCCCAAAAAAGAAATATTTGACATAAGCCTCGCATCCTCAACCTGACTGCTAATATTTATACCTGGAGACTTACAGGGAGAAGGTCAAACTAACATTCCCACAATACTTTTTGTAAAAGCTGTAGGGTAGCCCAGAGTCTACCCAAAAGTCTCCCCATGAGTATGTGAAAAACTATGCCCTTCTGTCTTCCTCGATTTCATGACTAATGAAGATGCATCTCTACTTTCTGATTTATTGTAGCTTTTTAAAAATTTTAACCTACACATGGAAGTAAGGAACCAGCAGAAACAAGTCTATAACTACTTCAGTTGTTGGAGGTATCAGACACAGATTTTAAAACAACTATTCTTATTCTTGAAGTAAAAGGCAAATTTTAAAATTTATAGGCCATAGAAAATATTTAAAACAATCCAGCAGGTTTGAAAGCCAAATAGAATTTTTGAAACAAGTAAACAAGTGAATCAATTGAATTCTACATCTGAAGAGAGAATTCGTAAACTGAAAAATAGAGAAGAAAATATTCGGAACATAACATCAATTGACAAAAAAAAATCAAGAAATATGAAAGGGAAATGAAGGATAGATTGAGAAGATTTAAAATATATCTAATCAGAATTTCTAGAAAGGCTGAAGCATAATTAATACTTGGTGAGATAATATCTCAAAGTTTACCAGAATTGATCAAAGATACTTATCTTGAGATTCAGGAATTTCAGTGAATCACAAGTAGGGTAATTGAAGAAGAAAGAATCCACACCAGCCAAGCCATAGAAACTGCAGCATGCCAAGCACATATACCAACTTAAAGCAAGTAAACAGAATGAACAGATTACATTCAAATGAATGACAACTACCAAGCTAGAACTTTACTCCTGCTGAAAGTATCCTTTTAAGGATAAAGGCAAAATAAAGTTAGAAAAGAAATGCTCAGAAACCCTCATTACATGTAATCTGAAGGTATTTTCAGTAGAAAGTGGCCTTGTGGTAAAAGTAGTTTGAGGAGAAAAGACACAAAAGGAAAAAAAAAAATGATCTTGGCTGGAAGGTCTGATTTGCAAGTGAACAAAAAAAAAATGGCAGGTACATTGGCAAATCTGAATAAATATTAGCTGCATAAAACCATGATAAAGCTATATAGTTGGCTTTAAAATGTAGAGTAGCTGGGCATGGTGGCACGTGCCTGTGGTTTCAGCTACTTGGGAAACTGAGGCAGAAGAATCGCTTGAACCCAGGTGGCGGAGGTTGCAGTGAGCTGAGATTGTGCCACTGCACTCCAGCCTGGTGACAGAGTAAGAGTCTGTCTCAAAATATGTGAATAAAGTGGAATTAAAATACATGACTATAATAACATACAAGTTTGGATGAGAGGAGAAATGAACTTCAAGTTGTCAGAGGTCTTAGTAATGTCCAAGAGAAGAATAAAGATATAGATTGAATGTTCCTAATCCAAAAATCCAAACCTGAAATGCTTCAAAATCCAGAAACATTTTGAGCACCAATGTGATGCGCAAACGGAGTATTTTGGATTTCCGATTTTCGGATGAGGGCTTCTCAGCCTGTACCGTTAACTTCAGCTTGTGATAAATTAGATCTGCATGTTGGGATGTTTTGTGCAACTACTAAAGGAATAGAAACAAAGCATGTAGGTTCCAATTCCAAACAGAAGGAAAAAATAGAAAACTAAAAATAGAAGTTATTCATAAATAAGAAAATGAAATTGGACTACTATGTCATACTGTACTTAAAAACAATTTCAGGTAAATTATAAGCCTAAATATGATAAAATAATACCTGAAAGCACTTAGGGTCACAATAATGGAAACTTCTTCCATGATATCAGTGTAGGAAATAAGTTTTTAAAACAACACAAAAGGTTCAAATTTATTTAAATTGTGACTTGATTTAGTATTTAAATTATACAGAAAAGCTACTAGTGTCTAGATGAATATAACATTTCTCTAAATCAATGAGCAAACCATATCTCTCCATTGAAAATAGTTGCAGAAGAATTGCACATACACTTCACAAATGAGGAAATATAAATGGCTAAAAAACATGAGTATATGGTCAACTTCATTAATTATCAGAAAACTCCAAATGGAAATCACACTGACTTACTGTTTCAAAACTACCATACCAAGAAAAGTAAAGTGCTCACAATATTAAGTGGTGAGAAGTGTAGAGCAAGGTAATTCTCATGTATTGCTGGTGGGAGTGTGAACTAGTATACACATATTGGAAAAAAGTTTGGTTATATAAAAGTTTAAGACATGAGTAGACTGCACCCAGCAGTTCTACTCCCAAGTACTTTTCTGGAGCAAATCTTGCACATTTGCACTAAAATACACGTGTAAAGTTGTTCATAATAGCACTTGTTCATGGAAATGCCAATGAGTAGTCCGTAGCAAAGGAAATGAACTTACAGCTAAATGCAATTCATGGGTAATCTTAACCACATAATGGTGAGCAAAGGAAACATAACACAAAATAATGCATATAGTATGGTACAATATTTTGGGTAAACATGGACAAAATTAAATCGCTTAAAGCAGGAAAAATGATTTTCACCAGTCAGGTTTGTTTATGGGAACCTCCAGGAGGGGAAAGAGGATTGTGATCAGACAGCCACATGCAAAAGCTACTAGAATGCTGGAAATGTTAGATGTATTGAATTAGTTGGTGGTTACAGAGGTGTTCACCTTATAATTATTAAATTGTGCATACTTATATATACTTTATGGTTACCTGTGTCACATTTTAAAATATAAAACATTTTTAAAAAAGACTAACATCAAACATTATCCAAAATATATAGCGGAATGAGTTTTTCAGGCTTAGGATCCATAAAATAAATAACACATTACAAACCCCGAGTTAGATTTAAGAATGTAAAATAAGTCCGGGCGTGGGGGCTCAAGCCTGTAATCCCAGGACTTTGGGAGGCCAAGGCAGGTGGATCACGAGGTCAAGAGATCGAGACTATCTTGGGGTCAATATGGTGAACCCCGTTTCTAAAAATACAAAAAGTTAGCTGGGCATGGTGGTGCGTGCCTGTAATCCCAGCTACTCAGGAGGCTGAGGCAGGAGAAAAAAAAAAAGAATATAAAATATTAAACTTGTATTTAAGAAAGGTAATAAAATAATTTGGTATGATACTTGTGGCAAACTTAGCAAAAATAAATCTCTCTCTAATATCAACAATCCTTACAATTTGATTTTTTCAAAACCCTATAGGCAAATATATGTGTATCATTTGTATATAACTATATAAAAATATATATATATATCTGAGCTCCAAAATGAAGCCATTTGAAATTTATATAAAATTAAGGAACAAATTATTAAGTAAATGTATAATTATCCTTCTTATAAATTAATGCAAATTAAAACCAGTTGGCATTTTTTTGTACACACCATTAGCACTGGGAAATTAGTGATGGTGCCAATTGTGTCAAGATGCAATCTCTTAGACATCATTTGTATTTACGTAAATTATTATCATCTGGAAAAGCATAATTTATCAAGGATCATAAATGCTTACAACCT